GGATTGCGGCGTGGCCATCTCCCCTGGGGGGGTGATTTCTCGCTTTCTGTCTCTCTGTCTCTCTCTGTCTTTCTGGTGAGTGCACGTGCCCTATAGCAATACCCACAAAAAAATAAATAAATAAATAAATAAATTAAGACACTGTGCTTCACACAGCACCATATAGCAAAAATCTCTGTTAAAAAAAAAAAAAGGCAGGATCAGCAGGTGGCACGATAGTTAAGGGCACTGGACTCCCACATGGCCGACTATGGTTTGAGTCCCGGTCCTGGCAGCTTTTTTTTTCTCACTTTCCCTCTTTGTCTCTCTCTCCAGTCAAATTAAAATAAATGAATGAAAAAATAAAATTAAATAAATAATTTTTAAAAAGAATTATTTTATTTCATTTATTATCATCACATTATTATTATTTTAAAAAAACATTTATTTATCCACTCCTTTATTTTTTAATTTGACCAGAGAGAGAGAGAGAGAGAGAGGGAAAGTGAGGAAGCAAGCTGCCAGGTACAGGACTCAAACCGTGGTCCTCCATGTGGGAGTGTCCAGTGCCTTAACCACCGCGCCCCCTGCTGGTCCCCTACATTATTATTTTTAAACCAGAGAGAGACAGAGAGAGAAAGGAAAAGTAAGAAAGCAAGCTTCCAGTTCCGGGACTCGAACTATGGTCAGCCATGTGGGAGTCCAGCGCAACCACTGCCACCTGCCAGCCTCAGCCTCTTCCTTTGGTCCCCAACCACTGCTAGGGTTTTAGCCACCACCCAGCCCATCAGAACCCCAACCCAGCTCCACCTCCAGCCAGGGGACGCCTCTGCGGAGCTGGAAGTCCTCCCCAGGAGGCCCGGCACCTGCCTGTCTGGGAAACACACATCCCTCCAGTGCGCCCCCTTCAGGTCACAGTCAACCCCACGTCTGCTGGGCAACCCATGGGGACTAGCTGGACCCAATCGCGCCCTCCCGGAGCCCAACACTCAGAGCTCAGGGGTCTCCATGGCAAAATCAGCCACCCTCCAAAAAACTTCCCAGCTTCTAACATCCTAGCGCACCTGGGACAGGTAGGGCATCAGGAAAGGAGGGGAGAAAAGGAGGAGAGAGAAAGGAGGGGCGTAATCCGGGATGTTTCCAGCAGCCCGTCCCCCACCAGCCTCATGGAGCGCACCATCAAGGCTCTGTAGACGCCTCCCATGCAAAGAGGTTCTAGAGCCTTCCATCAGCCTATGTCGTTTCCCTGCAGGGACCATCCTCGAACCCAAGAATCTTACTAGATCGGCTTGAGACCAGCAGTTGGTGTAATGCTATGTCACTGGACTCCCACGTAGTTGACCATGGTTCGAGTCCCGGACCTGGTGGCTTAAACTCACGCTGGGCGTGTGTGCGTGCATGCCCAAGATCCCGAGAGGAGAATGGAGGAGAAGGGATTGCGGCGTGGCCATCCCCCCTGGGGGGTGATTTCCTGCTTTCTATCTCTCTGTCTCTGTCTGTCTGGTGAGCGCACGCGCCCTATACAAAAAAACTCCCCAAAAAAGAAAAAAAAAAAAAAAAAAAAGCACACAAAACCAACCAAACACACTCCACACACACACACACAAACACACACAGAAAGAGCCTTACTACATCAGCTCAATTTGGCTCCAATTCGTTCGCGAGCGCCCTTGCCCCCACTTCCGATGGCATCCCGCACCCCTATCTGGAAGGACACCCCGCTTTCGACAAACCCCTCCATAAGTGAGCTTCCTTCAGGCCCATTTCCAACACCCCTCCTCCGAGGTCTCCCCAGGCAGACCAGGCTGCCTCCTAGGCCGGACCAGCTTCTGGGTCTCCTTCTCCCTCTGCCCAGGCAGGAGCCCCCAGAGGTGCAGGGGGCTCGCCCTGCCTGTCTCACCTGACCCAGGTAAGTTCGAAGAATGCACTCAATGACCGGGACCCAGAGCCTACCCTAAGCGTTCCACCTGCGCTGTCTGCAACTCCCAGACCCTCGCCTGCCCTAAAGCCATCCAGACCCCCTCGGTCCGGCCCCACCCTCAGGGCTCCCCCAGCACCTGCTGCAAACTCCTAAACCCGCAGGGATCCCCCAATGGACGCTTCGCCCCTGCAGGACCCCCTATCCCTAGGGTGGATCCCCAGCGGAACCCCAGTCCACCCTCGCGGGGCTCGGAACATGCTGGGATCCCTAGTTCCTTCCGCAGGATCACGACCCCCTGGGGAAGATCCCTGACCCCTAAAGCATCCCCAGAACGCTCAGGGGCTTCCAGTCCCTTCCACACCACCCCTGCCAAGTACCGTGAAAAAAACCCTAGGTCACCATAGCAGGAGACACAGACTTCAGCAGG